TCATTTTGCACATTTTTTTTTCATCTCAATTGTAATCCCCACGGGTTTCCCATCACCAAATCACCCCTGTGCCACCACCATAGTCCCATGCATTTCCCTCCCTTCCCCCCCCAATAAAACAAGTTTTTTTAACTGCTAAATTTGATTTTAAGAGGATACCAAGTTAAATTTCAGTTAAACAAAATTCCACTCATCTTAGGATTCACTACTTAACCTTCAAGTTTCATGCTCCTCCCTTCACTTCCTGGTTATAACGTTGATGACACAGCACTATTTATAACAGAATGGTACAGAAAATAAAGATAAAATAAGCCACAAGTCTTCTACTAAGTGATTTCTGTTAATATTTTTTTATGTCTTCTTGTTCTTGGTTTTTCACTATTGAAATTATGCTATTAACATTTTACCATGTCATTGCATAGCCTTTAACAATGCTATTTTTAATACCTATAAATATGTCACCTAATCATATCATATTAAATTTTTTTTGTAATTAGAGTACTTTTCAGTTCAGTTTCATTTTATAACTCCATAGAAAATCTTTGTATATAAACCAATTTCTGGTAGCTGTTATATCATTTTCACTAGATTGACTTTCTTAAAAACAGGATTCATGTCTCATGACTGTTATTTCCCAACACATGGCACAATGACTAGAACAAAATAATGACTGAATATATGTTGTATGTGTATAAGTTATTTTCTGAAAAGAAAATCACTGAGTAAGACAAAAATGCAGTATTTTTGATACTGCTCTGAATAAATGAAACATTCATCATGCTTTCACCAACATTTAATATTATTGAATTTGCCAGTTTGATACAGGTTTCCCCAGCTACTCGAAATTAAAACACTCCTATTTGGTGTGATTTGATAGGCTATTTTTGGGGTTCTGGAAATGGCCATTGCCAATAATTTTATGGAGACATTTTTGGGTGTTCAAAGAGCCCAACACAGCCTACTGTTTCATACCAAGTAAGAGTCTACTTTTAGATAGCAGGGGGAAACTGTAATTAGAAGTTGCTGTCTCTTATAAATTGTGATCATTTTGTTACTACCCATGAGCTTAAACTTTTATGTCATGTATGACATTTGTATTTTGACACAAGCTATGTGCAACTTCTGTCACCAGACATGCTCCGAATGGAGGGGAAATGCTATGAAAAATCAGAATTTCCATGCTAGCTTATGTTATGACCTCCCCTTTTTGTATAATTATCAAAATATTCTAAGCAACTATCAGTTTTCAACTGGATTGCCTTAGCTTCATAAGGCACTGCCTGGCCAAGGCAAACAAGTGCTGCCCCAGGACGGGAAATTCCTCTTGAAGTAAAAAATAATATTACAACTGGCTGATTAATAAAAGCAATTGGCTTATAACAAAATCAATATTGTAAAACAAGGCAGTACTAGAACATGTAAAAATAATCAGAGTTCTTTTAGAACCCAAATCTTATCACTCTACTCTCTTATTTAAGCTTTTTATTGCTTAAATGAGGACCTTAACTATCTCCCTTAGTGATGTATTTACCAGAAAACTTCTCCAGCATAGTCTTCACAACTTCACCTTCGCCCGAGACCTCACCTTATCCCCCTTCACATCTCCAGCCCAGCCTCCACCCTAGTCCTGGACTTTACCCTCTAAGATGTCTCAATGAGTATGAAGATCATTAAGAGGCATTTAAGGTTTAAAAGGACTTTATTTTAGCCAGTCATCACTGTGGTAAATAAAACAATGTTAGCCTTAAATTTTATGAATTTATGTACCTATCCTAACTTTAATAGATTAATTTTAAGAATAATAAATGTTATAATCTCAGCTGAAGGTCAGTACGACCCCAAACTGTTCTTAGAAAAAAAAGATGATTATAATCTCAGCCCAGTTCATGTGCTTATGTCATCCCACTGCTTGCTCCTAATGTATAAAATAAGCTTCTGCTAAGAGCAGAACAGGAACACTTGCACCCAACTCCAATTCCCGTGTCTTCCTCGCACCTGCTTCCCTTTCCCCCCTTTTTAGGAATCTCTGCTCGCCAACGCCGTTCCCGCCTTAAGACCCTGCCTGTTCTGCCCCCGAACAACCCGTGATCGGGACAGTCCCCAACAGTATTTTCCTTCGTAAATTTTTTATTCTTGTCCTATTTTTTTTTTAAAGATTTATTCGTACAGAACTGGGATACAGGCCAGAGATGCGGAGGGTGAGAGGATTCACCAGAGACAGAGTGGGGAGCAGAACAGGCAGA